GCTATATTCCACTCGCGGTTCTCGTGTGACACAAAACTAAACGTTTGGAATGATTGAGAGAAAAAACTCCTTATTATTTTGTTTAAACATAAGAAAGGTTGTCTTGATGACGTACATTGGCAGCTTAGATCCGACGAGTAAAAGATAAGTGATTAGCTAAATATCATAATTTTCTATGCGAAATATCCTTATGAAAATAAGATTCCTCGTATTTTTTCAGCCCTGCTTCTTCCTCATTCAATGAACGATAATCGAAGTATATTCTAAAGATTCATCTTGATCATTTTATGACTACTTGACCAAGTTTACGAGGTAACCCTCTCAAGTTAAAAGGAAGATACGAAGAGGGAGAGTTTGAAGTGTACTCAATCATCGGGGTTAATTCGGCTATATGTAGGGTTTATTTGCCGCAACAGCGTTTTCTATGAATTTTCAGTCAGTCCAAAAAGCTGCCAAAACTTCCGAGAAATTAACATTCTTGTGGGTGACGAATTCCAAGATCTGACGCACGATTTTCAAACAATTTCAAGTTTTTTTATTTTGGAAATTCACCAGTGAGTGACGCTACAAATGCAGATCTTTCTAAAATTTTATTTTGAGATGAAGGTACTGCTCAAATCAGGGGTGTTCGAAGAAATTCTTGGATAATTAACGGAATTTTTATAAATGTTTACTGATTCCGCTGTGTTTTGGAAATTCTGAAACTTGTCCAGCAACAAAAAACATCATTTCAGGACACGAACAAAATTTTCAAAGCATGCTTTGTACAGTATTCAAAACGTGCTTCCTCTTTTCATCTGTCTTCTTTTCGTTACCGGAACAAAAAGTTCAACTTAGTCTGACCTCGTAACTTGGTGAAGTTTGAAAAGGGGTTTTCTCCTAGCTTCTAAATTGGCAAATCATTCCATCAGGTATTTTTTTTGTTGAAAGTTCTAGATGGATAAAGGAAAAATTTAATTTTTCGAATACATGCAAGAATCCGCAGTGAAGCGCGAAGAAACGGTCTAGATTATTCTCAAGTTCAAGTTCATGAATAGAAAGGTCACTTCGGTATGGAAATCCACACACTCGCACTTCCCCTCGTGTCCCCCTTTATTTTTCCTAACCCTGCATAGACGAGAAAATCTTGTCGACCGGTTCTGGGTCACCCTTGATCCGACCCAACCAGGTCTCGAAGGGGTCGACAGTGCTTTTCTGATTCGAGTACTCGGGATGTTCCTAATCCTCATTCCACCAGCCGAGTGCTGCTAAGGGCTTTACTCGGAAAAGCCTCCAGTTCTCATCGCGCGCATGATTAGCTCCAAGCGGGGGAAAAAAAGGTCACACTAACCGACCGACGGACGGATGGACGAAAGAAATAAAAAAAAGCACCGTCTGCGAAAGAAGCCAAACGAGAGCAGATACGTGTCCTTTTTGTTCCAGGATTCTTTTTTTTGTTTTTGTTTTGTTTTTTTGGCAACTCGCCGCTTTCGAGAATTCCGCGCGCTTGAATAATTCCGTCTTTGGAATTTTGACTCGCGAATGCTGACGTGAATAGGAGACCACCCTGGTATTCGTCGAGAATTCCAGAATTTCTTTGGATACGGGTACCGAGGCCCGCAGGGAACCAGATCTGATTACAATTTTTGCTTTCTTTATTCCTTTTGAAGTCCATTCAATCATGGCTCAGTCAATGTAAAAGAGGTGAAGCACCAGAAAGGACGAGAAAGGACTATTTTTTTCTGATTTGTTGGTTTTTCCATGACGTGTTTTTCAAATGGAACGAAAATTCTGCGATGCGTGGAAATTGAAAAATAAATCAATAATTTTCGGCACTGTTTTTCGTCAATGGTTGAGTATCTTTCGATGAATAACGATGAATACTAGTTTTGAAGATAATTGAATGGTCTTTTTTCAACTTTTGCCTACCCAAAATTGAAAACAATAGGACGAAAAGGAGTTGAATGTGCACTTAATTACCGTGGTGAGAAATAGGGTTAACCCTCCACCGTTCAAAGTTTTATGAATTAGTGCACCGTATACGAACAATTTCGATCACCTGAACAGATCAAACCAATCCTAAATAGATTAGCAGTCTCTCAAAGTTATGAATCAGACTATTAAAAATTTTCAATTATTGTTACAGAAATGTGAAGGTTGCATTTGATTAGCATAAGTCTTCGAATTTAAGAAGAGCATCATAAAATTTGCAGAGGTACGATTCGAGATCCTACACGGGTTTGTAGTTTTCCGACTCCAGAATTTCGGTACCACAGAAAGGGATTTCAAAACACCGACAAACTTTGCAATCGTCTGCAAAATTGAGGGTTGTCGTTATTCCAGGATTATTTATTCAGCTCCAAATAATCTCCACGCACAAATCCCCGCAAAATGTTCCATTGACTGAACATCAGCTGCGAAGCAGACTTTGCTACATCAATAAAATGATCTACTTATCTTTGCACACACCAAAAAAGCGGATTAACTCGTCGTGTAATTCTATTATTTGGCCGGACCGCAGTAAGCCCAAGGGTCAAGTCCCAAAGAATTCCGACAATGTCGGGTTCGGCATGTCTGGTCGCATGCCTCTACGTCCGCTGTCGGACAAGTCGACAAGGAACCTCCACAATATAAACTAAAAAAATATATACGTTGATTGAGCCACGAATGAGAAAAGCGACCTGGACACAAGCTGCTATTCGAGGATACAAACGGGTTACAAGAAAAGTTCCCTGAAAAAGCGACGTTTCGATATTTCCCCAAGGAAAAAGCATTCACGATCAACTCTTTCACTGAATTACTTTTAGTCTTCTTTGAAGCGTTTCTGTCGTTAATTTCACTTGTACGAGGTTTTAGAAGTATTGTAAATTGTGAAAAAAAAGTTGTCACAAAAATAATGCCCGGGTGATGAAGATAATCATTACGCGCTTTGTAACTGGTGATAATTTGAATCTTTCATTAAATTTGTATGAATATTTATTGGCTGGATAATAAGAGCATTCTTGATGTTAAGAAAGTTTGCTTCGATTCACAAGGAAGCATTCGAACGTTTTGAAGCTCATTTTTTTTATTTTATCGGACACTAGCCTTCAGCACTCAATACGCCAGAACTTTTTGCAATGATTACCATGTTGATCAAGATATCCTCAACTTGAAAATATATTTAAATTAAAAAAAGAATTGAGCGCGAGAGCTTTAAATTTGTCTCTCCATATTCAACACAGGGGGTCACGTGAAAGAACGTATAGAGATTTTTTCCTTTTTAATTATGGTGAAAAAATATAATGTAAGTCGGTTGAGGTTGCCTTTAAAAGCACTGAACTTTAGCTAAATAGATGAAGAATGAATCTCACTGAGATATTTCTATAACTATAGGTGATTTTTTTACTTCTTTGAACTCATCTTAAAACTCAAGGACAATCCCTCATACTTCCATCGTTGTACTGCGGTGTACTGTACTCCCAAATAAGCAATAATTTAGGCAATAATACGAGACATTTCAACAGGAAAACATTCAATTTGAAAAAAAAAGATTGATCATAGGTGCTTTTTTCCAGTTTGCCAACATTTTCGTAACAGAAAATAGTATATTTAATTGGATACCACATCACCTGCCTCCGAGGTGATGTAAAGTCGATTGGAAACTGAAGAATTAGAAACGCAGAGATTCTTTGTGGCTTAAATGATCCTAGAAACGATGGCAACCTTTAACCTAGGCATGCCTCCCTCTTCAATCATTGCTCACTTGTTCTAATCAATCTAAAAACTCAAGGAACATCCCTCTTTCTCACGGCAATAAAACGAAAAATTGTTCAGGATGAATTCGTTCCAAAAAAAATAATAACGATCGAACCTCGATAACTCGAACCTCACAATTTGTTTTCAAGTAGCTTCCTGAATTATCTCAGAAATAATGCAATAAAAATCTCTCTGCCTCAAAACCATCACAAACTGGAAATATCTTCAACTCAAAAAATTTCCCTAACTTTAAACCTCCTTAACTCGAAGCCTCTATATAAGTGAAACCTCCCTGACTTGAAACCTCTCTAAATCAAAANATTAAGTTATTGTTTTTCACAAATCCACCAGAATGAATAAAATATTTTTTTAATGCACCTACGTAAGTGCCGAATACATGCCATTACTGTAGTTCAATTTTATGGAAAGTTTCCTGTCAAACGAAATAAAATACTCTACGAGGCAAAACGCGAAAAGTTTTCATGCCAAGCAGATTCAGCTTGCTGGTTTGCTCCAGTTTTGAGAAAACAATACTCGATCAATTCGGAAGAATGTGATCCCATATACACAAAAATATCACGAAAACAATGCTGCTGGGCATATTTCATTCGGCGAAGGAAAACAATAATAATAACTCAGCAATTTCGCTTTTATCGTACTGTGCCATTTCTAGTGTTGATAAGGAAGGGCTGCAGAAAAATCGGCGACTTTCCGAAACGGCCACGAAGTCGGAAAAACAGGAAGGGAAGTGATGAAAGATTTTTTTTCTTCTGAAATATGAGAAATGTCAGGATTCAATAAATCCGCTTGTCTGGCTGTTGAGACTTCTGAACCCATCACGACAGGCACATCCGGGTGCAATGTGAGGTCCGGTTTTTCAACAAAAAGCTCAAATCCGTGCCCACGGGAAGGTCCATCGGCTCGTCCTCGCTTCAGAAAAATGATATTTATTTCTTTGCTTCCCCGCGGTCGGCGGGTAATTCATTCCTCAAATTCATTCAAAAGATTTTTCGATTTGAGTACACCACACTCACCCTCGCTGAAACAATTTTCCACACGACACGCCAACGTAACCCAAAGTTGTGCCCTCTACGTAAAGCGCGGACCCGTCACGAATGCAAACAATCGGTGGAGCACCTTCATAAAGCTCTAAATAATCACGAAGCCGATCCACTCGGGATTCCTATCCAAAACCGGAAAAGCACAAGAAAAAAAAAACCAATAGAAGAACAAGTATTTTTTTTCAAGTTTCAAAAGATTAAGATGTCTTTATAAATGAGGATGTTTCGATGTCCTATTTTTCAAGTCAATTTACAGCAATTTGAACCAAAAGATTTGAGATTAATCTCCATATGTCTATGATTACCAAAAGTAACGTGATTTTTTCAGATTTATGCTCGCCAATCCAAAGTTTGGTGTAACTTTCTACATAAGCATCAGCAGCTCAAAAATGCTGGCCGAGGTAGGAATACCGTATTTTTTAAAACTTCAACTCAGTTTTTGGACCTAGCACAATAGTCACGAAGAAGATTTTAAAAACATTAGAATGTTCGAAATTGCTAGCCAATTCATTATAAAAGAGTATTGTAGTCAAAATTCAACTCTGTTTTCTCACAAATTCGGCACGCCACCCTCGAAAAGGGAAGCATTATTATTTTCATTCGGAAGAAGGGCTTCAGACTACAGTATAAGGCACTTGGAATAATAATTATTGAAACATTTAGTCTGATTTATGCTTGGAATGCGAGAGTCATCATGCCAACCGAAACAGCGTTCGGGATTCAGTGTTCTGAAATACGATAGGTATCTTCCGAATTTATTTAAATTCTCATTTATCCCACAAGATTTCTTCAAAATCATCTTTTCGAGTTTTTTTTTTTTTTTAATGAAGACAAGACTGACGAAACTTGCGAACTACAGTATTACTCGTAACTTTCTGACGCGTTCGTATTATTCAGGGAAGTTCGTACATTACGTCTAGATGCGGCGCAGTCGCCTCTGTTTTCAAAGTGAACGTTGATATTGAACGGCAACAATCCGATTCCTTCCAGCTTTAGAGGTTGAATGATTGGCATGTCGTTCGTTGTGCAAATGTTGACGGCCGCCACATTCGAACCAGCACTGACGCCCAAATACGGCACGCCGCCCTCAAAAAGGGAAACATAATTATTATCATTCGGAAGAAGGGCCTCAGACTAAAGTATAAGGAACTTGGAATAATAATTATTGAAACATGCAGTCAATGGCATGGTTCTGGTTTATGCTTGGAAGGGCTAGTATGCTACAGTCATCATCCAGACAAATCAATTTTCCCAATTAAAAACTTAGACACATCCAAGTTAAGTCGGGAATTTGCAGGGAAACTTTTCGCATAAAATTATGAGAAGATTGTCACAAAACTGAATCAAAATTGTTCCAATATCGCTTATGACTAATATTATCAATACATTACTTGAAATCCGATTCTAATTGACCAATTAAATTCGAAAAATTCATTTGAAGGTATTTCAAAAATAAATCTCATGTGACAATTGCCATATCTATACAAATAAAAAACATAATTCCTCTGATTCTGAATCGTTCTGGATCTTTTCATGCTTTTGGATAATTTTAATGCGTCTCAGAGTCGCATCAGATGTGCTAATTTACGTGGCGACATAAAAAAGGTGTTCTATTTTCAACAGTACTCCCACCACAACTCGATATAATATATGTTTACTAACGACGATACATATGATCAAAAGTAGCACAAAAAAACCTGAGCATTGTATACAAATTTGACTTAGAGAAATCACATGAAAACCAGCTCGTTCTTTTTTTTCAAAATTAATGTGTTTTAGACAGAAAACAATTTTTTATGATGATGAAGGTGACCAAATATATTAGGAAAGCGGGCTTTTAGTTGCAGTAAATTTATTTAAATGTTGTTCCATATGTATAGATGAAGCATTTATAAAATTAACACCAAATTTGGTTCAAGCTTGTACACGGTCTTACAGTATTACAAATACGTGAATAATACAGTTTAGAATCGGCAAGAAATTTTTTTCACTTCGTAAAACCGATCACGTAAAAATAGCCTGTAAATTTGGCATTTCTTACAAGTCTGCCGACAATCTCAGCATGAAAGGAGTTGCCATAAAAAATGTCCTAACATGCACGTTTAGTTCGAATTACTAAGGTCCATGATCATACATGAACCAGTTTCACGCACATGGGAATGTGAAACACATTCTATCAGGTATTTACTAGTGTTTACAAGAGTGTTCCTGAGAAAAGAACTATCGTCTCTGTTACGGCCGCAGTATGTAGGAGAACTCGTTGTTCTTTCACAACGGTGGCGGCTGTCTCTACCGCCAACGCTTCTCGACAGCACTCAAGGGGTCCGGCAGGTTATGGATGCTCTCAACGCGAACCCCTTTTCACACGCCCACAGCACATGAAAAACATCACGATTAACAGAAGTGACTTCGGGGACTTTTTTTTTTTTTAAGATGAATACGGGGTTTACCAATCGCGCTCATGCGATGCTGGTAACGCTTGAAGTACTCGTCCATGTCCTTCTTGGCGTACGGAATAAAAAGGACTTCGTTGATGCGCTGCTTCTGAACGAATTTCACCGTCGGCGACCAGAACGCATTCATCTTTCGAAGTCAAGTCAGGATTGATTTGAAGGACACCGGAAAAAAATATTTCAATATTTTAAGGGACTGGCGGCACATAAATGATAAATGTGACAGTTTTCGGATAATCGAAGTTCTGCCGTGATTCCAAATGTTTCAAGTATATGCAGGACCATCATCGAAATAGAGTTCTTATGCTAGAATGGAATATTATATGCACATACATTCGATTTTTTATTATGCCCACAATCTAAATTAAAATTCGTATTGAAAAACGCAACCGTTTTCAGGTTCACCGCGGAAAGCCAAAATCTAAAGCAAAAAATGCCCCCTATTCAAAAACGGCTCAGTTCAAACTTTTAAAAAGTGATCCATGATGAATGAACTGAGGTTCATCGCACGAAAAAAAGCGGGTTTCAAAATCCGATTTTTACTTTTAGTATGGCACACCGACACGGGGCCGGTCTCTGCAAGTGAAACGCGTAGTCGTCAGTGTCGTCATCGTCGTCGTCGAATATTAGATCCGGCGCGCGAAACTTGTACTGGACGTACAGCAGGTGCCGGCCCCTGGCGCACTCACCGCCGTTTTCCGCCGCTTGGCTGCCGAAAAGCCGCTGAGGTGTGGGTGGTTGTGTATCCCATAAGAATTGCAGCGAACAGGTATCAGTGTTGGTGCATAGCGAACGACAGGCATCGTTTGAGACATCTGGCGACGATGATGCATTTTCGTTGACGACAGGCGACTTGGCCAATTTTTCACAAACTGCCGCCGCTTTCCGCTTTTGTCGCGAAGAAGTGACAAAAACGTCAGGCATACGGGGAGAAAAATTGTTCCCAGAATGATTTTTAAAAAGCAGAAATCCGAATTGAAGGTCAATTTCGTCGAAATAAAATAAAAATTGACTGAAGAATTTGAGGGCGGACCGAGCTTTATTTGCGAGAGTTATGGGAAATAACTCTCGCAAAAAAAAAACCGGATCCAGTCTTTCCACGTCAAATCAATTTTCTTTGCACGCATTATAATAATTAAATGCTTCCTAATTCGCCAAAAATTAGCCCAAGATAATGCCGTATTTAATTGACATGGTGAGGTATCACATACACAACTTGACACACATCCTTGACATTCTGATTGGCTAGCCCTAGCCGGACTGTTTACAGGATACACTTGGTAAGAAAAACATAAAGCACTTGCATAATAATGTAAAGTACTATACCTGTATATCCAATTTATAGATTACAAATGCATCATTTTTGTGAGTCTTGGTTTTAACAGCAATTCGATTCAATAACTTCGGGACTTTATCGCACACGGGAAAATTTAGATGGGAAATAACTCAT